AAGCCTTTGGCCCAGATTAAATTCCATACAAATTTTATAAGAACTTCCCAAACATATCAATATCAGTCTAAAATCACACTGGATCAGAGGGTAATACCCAGACTCAATAAAGGATGTAATAATAAACTCTATGATAAAATCAGGGAAAAAATTCTCAAAAACTCTCATACAGATTTATAATCAGAATTTCATGCATGGGTAAAATGCACAAAAACATAATAGCAAAGGTTGATATAGTGGTTAGAATATAATACAAGCTAGCTGAAGATTTAAAAGGATTTAGACATAATAGATCTCAGTCATAAAATTCTAGGCTGACACAAGAACGAACTTAACCCATTCGCCGCGGATGGCAAGAATAGATGCCATACCCACTTTGATACACGTTTATTTATTGTATTTACACATAGATGGCTCTACAAGTTCTTAATTACCAAATAGCCAGTTATCAAGAACTACCTATTTCACCTGTTTAGCCTTTTCCTTCACTTTCGGAAAGGTATTATAGGTAGCAAAATTCACCAAAACCAACAGGGGACAGAACATAAATCCGTGGCCAATGGGTTAAACTAGACACAACTTCATATGCAATAACAAATACATCCCAATACCTCCATGGTATGATATATCAGAGAACATGTAAACCAACTTTATGGACAATATAACAAATAATGCTCCTTAAATCATCATTCAAAAACAATACCAAAAATTCATAAATACAAAATATGAAAAACTATAATAGAATTTTCATTGACAGAACAAAGATAAAGGAAAAAGAATCAACCTCAGCAGCATATTCTTTTTCCAAAATAAAAATATAACTCCAAAAAAATCAACTGCCATATCAACAGCTAAGGTCATTAGCAAGTAACACAGTAATATCAAGACTTATAATAATCACTACAATTAATACAATATCCCAAACCATTCAACTACAGACAAATCACATGTGAAATACAAAAACAAATACATTTTCTCTCATCACAAAAACAAAAGAGAATCATTCTGTGGATTTCAACATATAATGATATAGAGGGAAATGAAATTGCCGATCTAGCTGCAAAGAAAGCCTATGAAATAAATAATCTTAAGCTAATTCTAGTACAAATTCAAGTCTGAAAAGAAAAAAGAAAAGAAAAGAAAAGAAAGAAAAAGAAAAGAAAGAAAAAGTTTCTTCTTTGTATCAAAAAATGCTACAGGTTTGTTGTCAGTTTGCTCAGTGAAAATGGGCCTACACTTTTTGATATGAGGAAGAAACCTTTCTAAATCACTTTGGTATCTGGTATGGAGAGTAATGCACCCTGCAGAGTGGAAACCCCAAAACCAGGCTATCAAATGAATCCAAAATTCCAAAACTTTCCTGCTGTCTATTTATTCCCTAGACAGTGCAAAAATTACCATATCTGTGAATATTTTCGCCTCTGAATTGTTTATTTGGCCCTATAGATTCCATGGTATTTGTTACCTCGAGCAATGCACTCCCCAGGGATGAAGTCCCAAGTCCAGAATAGTATGCATGTGAACCCAAAATCCAAAAATTTCCTTTTCTACCTTCTACTTACTCCATAGAAAGGGGGGAGGGGAGCTCATGTGTACTTTCCTTTATTAACATTTCATGCCAATTCACGGAAAACACAACAGTAAGAACTGGCTGTGTGAGGTTGTTGTGGACTTAGTCTCTGAGCGGTAACATGAAGTGGAATTTTTTTGTAATTTCCCAATAAATATGAGACTGCTGTGGACATACCAGTGATGCTTCTTACTCTATTTTTATGCTACAGAAGATGGCACTGTTTATTTCCTCTATCTCTCTGTGCATCGCTTTCGGTAACTTTAAAATAATTCCATTGATACGTTAAAACAGTGGTCTTCATTGCGCGGCTCGAGAGAGAGAGAGAGAGAGAGAGAGAGAGAGAGAGAGAGAGAGAGAGAGAGAGAGAGAGAGATGAGAGAGAGAGAGAGAGAGACGAGAGAGAGAGAGAGAGAGAGAGAGAGAGAGAGAGAGAGAGAGATGAGAGAGAGAGAGAGAGAGAGAGAGAGAGAGAGAGAGAGAGAGAGAGAGAGAGAGAGAGAGAGAACCTTAGAATATTTGGTTGTTTGACATGAGATGGAACTGGAACTATACCAAATTATCCTGGTCAGTGGTCAGGGCTTCCCAGATATATAGACAACAATTATCTGAAACTATAACAGGAAAGAAAAATTAAGCAGGGCATTTGCTAAAAGTCAGCTACTAGTCGTCATCTCATTAATGTCACATGTTAAAAACAACAATAAACTCACGACGCAACTTACCCAAAGAACTCCGCAAAGAACACGCAGTTCAGACAGATATGTCACATCATAAGAGCCACCCTCATGACTTCAAGCCCCACCTCTTTTTTCAGTCTTAGGTAAGGTGTACTATCACACAACAACGAGAAGTAGGACTGAACGTAAAGCCCGCGCAACGTAGAGAAACAAAATCTCAAACGCGAATCGTACGCGTCCTATCAGCTCCACCCCCCCCCCTACTCACCAAGCCCCATGGGAAGCTTCCGTTCCCCTGAAACTCTGTAATATGTGTCTCTATATAGTCTTTACTGTAATCATGCGTTAACAATTTCCCTGTTGTTCTAGGAGTGAATTCACCCGAGGCATACCGATCAATTTCAGAAAATGCATATGCCTCGCCATTTAATAATGTCTGTCAACGGCCAGACTTATTGAAGTAGCATTGGAATGGTAATCTATTGGCATTTCTGACTTGTAAGACCATTATATACCATGAATTTGGAGTTTTCCAATGGTTGTATGGTAGATGGAATGGTAGTTCAGGGGAACTCCACATTCCATTGAAGCTACAGAGTGTGGTGTTTATCCTATGGAGGGATAAGCCTTTAGTGTTTTACATGGCACTATAGACACCTGGTCTCGGGGACATAAGGGTGATCCTCTATAGGCCTTGTAAACAAGGGCACCACTGTGCTCTGTGCTGGGTCGGCACGGTCACGGGAGGCCGAGGCGCTTATGTGGCACTTGTGCCGCAGTTCAGTACTAACTGTCGTCGAACATGGGTGTTCGTGGGGATTTATCTTGGGTAGATATTCCTAATTTCGGTTATAACAGTACTGAATTCCGTGTGACTATACGAAGTAGATGAGACATGGGTCTGCATCTCTTCGTACTCTCCAAGGGGAGAATTTTGGACTCGTCAGGAGACGAGGAATTTCAATTGTAACAGTAAGTACCCATTAACGGTATAACATTATTTCATGTGTTTATAATCACCAATTGATATAATACTGAAATAAGTGAAGTTTACAAGAAGGAAAGTCATACGTAAAACTGGACGTATTATTCTTATAACAAACACTGAACCCGCTCTGGAGAGAGTGGAATAAAAATCTTATCCAGTGGCCTACACGCGAGTATATTTGGTTATATTCACTTGTTGCCATCTTTACTCAAGGGTGGTAAGAAGTGGTATAGCCGCACTCAAAAGACGGCTAGGTAACATGTCTATATACAAAGTTGGTCATAAGACGAGGTTCGCACGCTTCCTGGCAACTTGAGAATCTGAAAAATAAACTTATCATTTTCAAAACTTTTTACACATGCATGCTAATTCATCTGCTACTACAAACAGCGATGAGGGATCACATTTAAAGGTTTCCGGTTTGATGGTTGGTCCAGCCTGCTATTAGGCGGGAACGACTTGAGGGGATAACATTTCCAGCAGAACACAGGTATGCTATACTCAGTACATTATATGTATGTATGTTTGTATGTATGTATATACATACATGATTCACACACACGCGCGCGCGCACACACACACACACACACACACACACACACACACACACACACACACACACACACACACACACACACACACACACACACACACACACACACACATATATATATATGCGTATACATATAATGTGGTCTGTATAGCCTACCTATGAAATGCCCCCCCCCCATCTCTCTCTCTCTCTCTCTCTCTCTCTCTCTCTCTCTCTCTCTCTCTCTCTCTCTCTCTCTCTCTCTCTCTCTCTCTCTCTCTCTTCATAGACTAGTAAATCCACTGCACCTGGGGATGATGGAATCACTTACGACATCATTCGACTTCTTGCAAAAGTACAGGTAAAGGGAAGAAATCCTCTTCTTGATCTCTTCAACTTAACCTACATGACAGGCATCTTGCCTACCACTTGGAAACAGGCAACCATCATTCCCATTCCAAAACCAGGACGGCCTGATGAATATAGACCAATTTCTCTGACGTCCTGCCTGTCAAATACCTGTGAAAGAATTCTCCTCACTCGTTTACTCCATCAGATCAAAGACATGATCCATCCATCTGTCTTTGGCTTTCAGAAAGGGAGAGGAACACAAATGTGTCTAGCACAGTAGCTAAATGGACGTAATGATCAGTCTTCTTACTTCGTAGACTTTAAGGGAGCATTCGACTGCAAAACTCCATGAACAAATTCTTTTAGGAGTTAAGGGCAAGCTTCTGCTATGGATAAAGGATTATCTATCTTTGAGAAGAGCAAAAGTGTGGTATCAAGGCATCTATAATGTTTATGGCGAATTGGAACTAGGCACTCCACAAGGGGGAGTATTGTCCCCAAGGGGTCAACCCCCCCTCCCTCCAAACCCCATCCGACCTCCTCTCCCCTGCCTACGACCAGTCCTCCTACCAACTCGCATTCACATTCCCTCCCCCCGCAGGAACGTCACCTATCTCCACCCCGTAATATCATGAATACTCACACAATCTTTGCCCCACATATTCCCTCTACACCTGTGCCCACCATCCCTGTGAACACCCCAGCCCATCTTCCCCCTACGATGCCCACTCCCCTCCCTCTCCAGCCGCCCCAAGCCAGCCGACCCACGACCTTGTTACTGTGTCGTGAACCACGGTTCTCGCCACGACGGTGAATTGTTCCTCCTTCTCACTTTCACTCTCCCGCAGGTATATGGTTAAGAAAACTTGGAAAAATGTCACCCTAGAAGGAAATGCGAATCGTTTTATCTCCCGGGGGTGAGGATGTTCTGCGTTTGCCTCGAGGCTCCATAACCTGCATAGAAAACGGGGGGGAAAGAAAACGCTGCTACCTACCTACCTACCCTCTTTTACCATTTTGTATTTTTTCTATTTTAGCAATTATTAAAGGTTTTATTATATATTATTATTCATATCCTACACAAGAACAGAAGAATGAGCAAACAAATAACAAAATGAGCAAAACAACGGGAAGAAGGCAATTTTATCATTTTATCTTTTAACTTCAGTATTTATTATTTTAGTTTTTTACTTTCTTTTACATGTTTATTTTTGCAATTTTTATTATTTTAAGATAACATTTTAACTCTAATAAGAAAAGACATTCCCCGCCTGAATTATTATTGTTCGCGCCACGAACTATTGTCAAACAACAAGAGAGGCCGTGGGTCGCCAGAAGAATCACTTGTTTGAGGAACCCCGGAATGGGCCTCCTTTTCTAAAAAGCTAAGTGGTTGTGGGAATATCCTTGTTAGGTATCAGGAGAGATTCATGCTCATGCAGAGAAACGAAGTGATAAATAAGACCGGTGCCTCTAAAGCTAAAGCTAAATTTTTAAAAGCTCATGTGTTCTTGTTTTAGTGTTTTATCTTAACGTTTTATTCTCGCTCTTTTAATGTTTGTGTTTTCACGTTTCTAGTTCTTTTAGTGTTTTCACGTTTTTATATTCTGTTCTTTCTGTGTTTTCACGTTTTAGCTTTTACTGTTTGTGCTTTCACGTTCTTAGCTTTTAGTGTTTGTATTTGTGTTTTCACGTTTTTAGTTCTGTTTGTGTTTTCACGTTCTAGCTTTTACTGTTTGTGTTTTAATGTGTTTATGTTCTGTGTTTTCATGTTCTGCGTTATTTTACTCTTTTATTGTTTTTGACATTTTTAATAAACGAGATTTGTGAAAAGTTTTATCATATGCCCTCGCAGTTGTAAGAGTTGTGAATTGGAAGAGCAAGTATTCAAGGGTTGTAAGCCGGGCTGAACGGCATATAGTCATCACGGCAGTGAACAGTAAAAGCTCGGCATCATATTGCGTTTGGGAAGTTATTCCCCCCGCACACGTCTCCTCTCGGCTAAGGCACGCTTACCGAACTCTCGCACATTACACTTACACTCCTCCTCTCTCTTTCTCACACACACACACACTCACACCTACTGTCCCTCCTTTCCTCACACCCTTCCCTTACACTACCATCTCACAACATGAACATTCACGTTCCCATACGTTAACTAAATGGGTGGTGGCAGTGAGTACTTTCTTAAGCTTTGCGAGAGATTCCTTTGTTACGGATCACTACAACTGCACCTGCTACCCCCCCCCCCCCCCCCCCCGCATAGTACCACGCCCGACATCATACAAGCGCCTTCCCTGCAATGCTGAGGCATCGGTTATTGGGATGAGAAGCGAGGCGTCGACATAGGTGACACCGAGAAGCTATATCAAGAACAGCAAAAGAAAGAACAAAGAAAAAAATCTTCCACCCAACCGCCAGCCGTACGACGTAACACATCATCAGTTGCCTGGATCACTCCCCCCTCCTCGTACTACCCTTTCACCACGACAGGGACCAACACTCGTTGAATGCACGACCGGAAGCATAACAAACGAGTAAAAAAAGGAGGGTTTCGTCAACGCCACTTCCAGGAAAGGAGAAAGAAAAACACGAGAGTAGCGCCACAATTCCAAACCACTATAAGATGCAGTACACCCTCAATATATTTATACATCACAAGTTGTCACAATGATACAAATGAAACACACATAGAAGACGTTCATGCAAAAAAAAAGTTTGAAAATATATCAAATGCAAAAGTATATAAGATTCACATGACGTATGGGTTTTATTCTATAGAGGCAAAGGTATAAACCAAGAACACTTCATAAATTCACATGTTTTTCCTAGAAACATAAAAGTATTTATGAACAAAAATAAGTACAAAAACGACCAGCTTGTCTGACGCCTCACACAGTCGCCAAGACCAAAGGTTAAATCGTGCAATTCAACGAAAATAGAACATATCAATGCACTACCCCCTCCTTGGTCACTTTGAAGAAATTGAAATGACGATTACAGAGAGAATTATCGACAAATTTTGCATTGGTATGTCAAGTAACAATCATTAACAATTAAAATTTTAGTGTTTATAGATGTGATGCAGGGCGAGGTGAAGGAGAATACATATACACAAGAGACCCTTAAATTAAATACGATCTTCAAAACAGCTGTAGAAGACACCTGGGTCACGGTACAAAGCAGCATGTATCCTTCCTTCATTATTAGTGCAACCTATAGACACACTCATACTACAACTGAATCATGTGACTACCTCGAAGAAGTTTTTTTAGAGAAATGTCAATGGAATGAAATGAAAACCCTTTTTCATCTTAGGGTGACTTAAGAAAAACAAACCGAAACAGCTTATAAATAAAAGTACAAGAATCACAGAAAA